ATATATCATGTACATTTTTTTATTCATTTATATAATTATAAGGCTGGATAAATAACTTTATTGTGCACCCCGTGCATCGCTCTGTACTAGTAATAAAGAACTACCAAAGTGATATTTAATTCAATAGGGCCCCGCATTTTCACACTGAATTTGTCAAGAATAATATTTTTAATTATATTTTTAAATTATATATTTCTAAAACATATATATTATTTGATAAAAACAACTCCAATGTGTGTATTGTAAAGTCAGCGTCTCTCGTTATTAATTTTTTTAAGTCTTTTAAATTTATATAATTTAATAATTTAGAATGTTAATTTACGCATCAATATATTAGTTTAAAAATTTATGGAACGTAAGACTATAATATTATATTTAATAAGATATTCCTTTATATCCATAATACCATTAGTTCCATATATAATATATTTAAATCGAGAAACAATAGTTTAAAATATTTCTTATAATTATTTTATGTAAAACTTATTTCCATATTTTATTCAAAATTTATAAAGTAGACACATTAAATTATTAATTTATTTTATGGTGTATTGATGAATTAGATTTTTGTTATGTTTATATAATAATTTATATTGTTATTTGATATTTTATAAAATTTATTTGATAATAAAATATTTTTTTATAACGATAGATGAAAAATTATTTATTATTTTATATATGCAAAATGTATGTCAAATGAAAACCCGTTAAAATAAAATTATTTTAATATATCATAAATAAAAAATAAAATACAAATAAAAAAGCTATAAAGTTTTAAATACGAAAAAGAGTACTAAATCATGATAATCAATATATGAATTAAATAAGAAAATGTAAGAAAAGAGAACTAAAATAAATTATGATAATTCACAAGTCTAATACTCAACAACAAACTTGTATATTTGTCAATACGAAGTACAAATTTATGACAATTAAGCGTACGCAACATACGAGTCTATCATTTAAACTCACACATTCGGTAATTATATATAAGAGCGATAAACTGAACCAAATTAACAGAGAAACGTAAAATCAATTGGTTAAATAAGCGTATCACATATACCTGTTGGTATTTGCATCTATAGACAATTTTTTTAAATAGTATATGTATTTTATCATTCATATTATATGTTTTAATATTTGTATCCATTAACTAATTGTTTCATTGATATAGTATTATAACTAGTATGTAACCCGTACGATGCACGGGCTAGTACATGTTTTGAAAAATTTTAAAAAATTAAAAGGTCATAAATTAATAAGTTGTTATAATACGTATGAATCCATAAAGTAAACATAAAATCGTCATTGGTAAAAAGTTATACGTTATTAACAACCTCCTTATATACAACGTTATTAGTTTGATTACTGTGTAACTCATCGTCCCCACAAACTAATAGTTTCAACCCCTTCCTATTAGTAACACGTGAAACAGCGACGTATAACTGGCCATGACTAAAAACAGGTTTTTTCAAGAACAGTCCAACATGTGATAAAGACTGACCCTGACTTTTGTTTATGGTCATGGCATAGGAAACCATAAGGGGAAATTGCCTCCGTTGGAACTTAAACGGAACCCTAGCATCAGGAGGAGTTATATTCATCCAAGGAATCAACACCTTCTCACCTGCGTAATCTCCAGTCAATATCCTACATTCAAGAACATGCGGAGAGAGCTTCGTAACAATCA